TGTTGTGTTGTTTCTCCAACTTCTGTATAGTTTCTCCTTTTATTTGTTCTTTTGTTTTGTTTTTGGCTCCATCCCAATCCTTAGAGATTTACTTCTTTTTTTTTTTTTTTTTTTATTTGTTTTTGGAGGGGGGATTACTGGGGATCAAACTCAGGACCTTGTGTATGCCAGGCAGGTACTTATGCCACTGAATTCTATCCTTGGCCCTCTTTATTTATGGAATTGTTTTTCAGGTATCTTGATTACATGTCCCAGTGAGGCTGTATTTTGTTGCTGGTCTCAATGCTGCCATTTTAATTTCAGAGTATAAACAAGCTGAATATCTTGTCCAAGGCTATGCATGTTATAAGCGATGGAGCCAGGATTCAAGCTCAGACATTATAATATGTAACACTATTACCAGGATTTTTTGGGTACTGTGAACTCCCTGTAGAACTTCTTACCTAGCTCTTTTTGTCCTGCATAAAGAACTAGATGGGAAATATGGAAAAGGTAGCAAGGCTTCCAATTACTAGAGGTAGGAAAGAATACTCTTCAGGATGAGAGCAAATCATTGTGAAAGAGCACAGTAAATGGCAATGAAGCTAATCATGGAGGTCATTTGTATCACCTGCTCTTAAGGCTGACATCAGATACAGGCCATCAAATAAAAAAATCTCTTTGATCTCATGCCAGAAATGGAGATAGAATTTTCTGATTGGTCTTAGATGCAGAGTGTGGGAGCTGTTTTTCTGCACATGTGTCCTGGATCTCCACAATTTATGGGTGACACCCACTTGGTCATCTGACTGCCCACATCCTAACTTCCTGCCTCACTTCTGAGAAATCTCCATAATTCTTTTAGAGATGATGAATATGTGGTGGTTTCTATCTTCATACAGCTACTTTTGGCTGAAAGTCTGTAAAACCAACTACTGGGGGCTATGTTCATGACAACTGCCTTGGAATATTATGGCTCACTGGGTGGTTAAAAAAAATCCTGGAGCAGTACTGGAGACATTTTGAGGAGGAGCCTCAGAACTTACAGAGGTTGACAAAAGTGTCTTTTATCCCTCTGAACAGTTCAAATGGAGCTTTATCCTAAAAAGGCGAAATCTCTGACAACTAGGAGTTTTAGCATTTTCTGCTTGTGCTTTAAAGATGATTGATCAAGCTTCTTTCTTTCCAGATTGCTGCATTGGCATGTAGCAACAAAAAGGCATATTGAGTCTGTAAATATTTAGTTTTTTGCAATACTTGAGTCAGAACTATGAGCTCTGCTTTGTGAGCAGAGGTCCCTGGGGGGCGGTGGGGGGGAGGACTTAGCCTCTGTTACCTGTTTTAAAATGAAACTGTGTAACTTTGCTTTTGAAGTCCTTCTTGAACAAAGCTACTTCAATCAGTGAACCATGCCTTGTTGGGGTCTTGGAGCATAGGTATGGAAAATATCCAGTTCGCAAGAGTGGCTAACCTCTGAGCCTGTAGGGATCACTGAGGCAGGATTAAGAGCAGTGCAAATCTTTTATGATGACCTGAGGAGTGTCTAGGAATATGGCCTGATGTAGTCCCAATAGGTAAAATCCGCTTTGGCCTTGTCAAAACTGGAGAATTCCCCCTAATTTTGTGAGTAAATTTCTTTCTACTAAGGAAGTAGGACAGTGTGGGACAATTAAAAACTCATGGTTGAATATAGATGTTTGAATTGACGTGGCCAAGCAGGAATAAAGAGGCTTTGACCTGAATTATGGCTATGGCTCTAGGGGAGGGTTTGCCAAAGAAGGAAGTTAAAACAGAACCCAAAGGAATTGAAATTGCTTAACCATGACATCCAGGGTCACCTATGATTTCCCACAGGATACAGAGTTCTCTGTGGACAGGAGCATTGTTGATTGTCCCAGGCCCCTGCAGTTCTCTTTGTCAGACCAAGAGGGTTTTGGCTGGCCTAGATCCTCCCTGGGTGCAGGGACAGTCAATCTGTCAGTGTACGTCAGCAGCCTATCACACAGAGTAGGACCTAGCTATGGTTTGGTGTAGTCATGTGCTCAGTGTCCAGTCTTCTTTCCTTAGGTTTTCCCTTGGATAACTTGGGTGTGCTTAAAACATTGCCAATTGTGACAGCAATAATTTTCACCTGTCTTTGTCATCCCTTTTTTCATCCTCATTTACATCTTCATTATTGAATGCAGAAAAGGCTGTGCCTAGCAATTGGGTTATAGGAGTCTGGAGTACAGACGATGGCTAAGACAAATTAAGTATCCTGCCAAGAGTTGAACAAGTGTGAAACCTGCCTAGAAAGATCTCCCAGAGATAGGCCTAACCATTATTCACTGTTGATTATCTGCCACTGAAAAAACCCTGAACTCAAATCATCCCCTTCACTTCTGGGAATCCTCTTAGGAGCTGTCTTGCAGAGCTAAAAGCTGTCTTAGCAGCACAAAGAGGGGACTGACTTACTGACCTGAGGACTATAAAGAGGAGTTGGAGAGGAACTTTCAGTGTGGTGCTTTTCATTAAATAGGTGGGAAAGAGCCATATATTCTCCTGAGGGACAAGGGGGCACTGAAGACAGGGTCATTAGTGATATCAATTTCCTCTTCCTTAGAGGTGTCTTAAGTACCATAATTATTAGGCCTTTATAGAGATAATGAGCCATAAAAAGCCTGAACATAAGAGATTCCACACCACTTTTCTTGCCTTTTGTAAAAAGCATCTAAGTAAAAAATAGTGTTATAATTTACATTGACATTCTGTATTCATCTCTCATCATTTCCTCGGACACACTGGACATAAACCTAGTACATTGCAATTTTGCAACAAATTAAGTTGTTAAAGACAAGCATTGTGCCCCCACATCTCTAACCAGCTACCTGCAAATGGCCTGTGGGGTGGGGGCTTAAGTCTGGAGCCCTTTAGAGGATTTCCCCACAGAAGTATGCAGATCTAGTAAGTCTCCAGAGCACCCTCTGTGAGAATCAAATGCACCACCAGATGTCTCTGGCAAGGTGGCCCCAGTGCCTTTCCTTAGGCCTTTCCATAGCCAACAACCCATTATATCACTATGAAGCCCTCAGGGCACAACTAGCCTCTTGCAAAATAACATCCCTTTCCATTTATCTTGATAATTAAAACTTTGGTAATTACTTGGTTGAAAGCAGTGGGGATAGAAACCTCTAAGCATTTAGGAAAGGGGGAAAAAAAAAAAAAAAAAGAAAGTTCTAAGTACAAGATTAGGGCCAGTTATCTATTGACTCTACTACTTTTGCATGCTCATAGCTGTTTGAATTGATCTTCACCAGCTGTTCCCTTTGTTCTGCTCAGGCCCTCAGACACGTTTCTTAATGGCTTGAATTTCCGTTAGAGGAAACAGGGAGGGTATGTAACCCAATTCAGAGGAGAAGCAGGGAGGAGGCCCAGAAAGCAGACATTAGGCCTCACCTATGAGGGTGGAATTTTCAGATTTCCATAAAGTCAGTCAAGAAAGAAGACAGTGAGCAAATACAATGGAACCATGACCTGCCAAAGTCGCTAACAAATGTGGCAGAACCATGTGGCTGACTCAAAGGATGAACCAAAATGGTTGGCAAACATGGAAGTAAAGTGGACTGGACTGGATCCCTGAGGTCTTAGGAAGCAGTGCCCTGAGAAAGTAACTCACTAAAGAGGCCCAGAGATAAACAGCCACATAGGTGAAAAGTGCAGATGAAACTCAGCACAAAAAAAGCATGGGCTAGGGTAGGCAGGAACTCAAAGCAGAAAACCAAGCTATCAATAGTTATTGTTTTAAAAGCTGAAACCAAGTATTATAGAGAACAAAAACATAAAGGCAAAAAGACATCATACACATGGAAGTTGAATGATCCATTCCATGACTTGGTTGATAACAGGTGCTGTCAACTCTCAACTAACTTGTACTCATAATGGATGAATGAAACAAGAAAGAGAAAAATGTAGAAATAAACTTGATATAGACCTGTAGGCTACTCTTACCAGCTGGGAAAAACAGACTATGTGCTACCCTTTCACCTTCCCATATGGTGGGATACACTAGGAAACTGTTCCCAAAGCCATGAGAAAACTTCCTAAATTCCCCAGGTTCCATTTTTACCATCCTCTAGCTTCCCTCCTCTGCTCAGCAACCAATATCAGGAAAAAAGAAGTCAAAGGATTTGTGTCCTCCAGCAGAAAAAGCCAGGGTGGGAGAGAAGGGTTCAGAAAGGAATTTGGGCTTTCCTAGGAGGAGAGAAGAGGAAGGAAAGAAATAAATCAGTCCTTCTTGGTTTGAATACATAGAACAGAGAAAGAAAGCAAAGCACCCAAACAGCCTTACTTTTTGACTGGCTTTGCCAAAATGAACAACAGGGTTCTTGGGGTACTATGGAGACCTAGAGATTCTTTCTAGGTTCTTGTTCTAAAAAAATTGTTAGGAAATGCAAAAAAGTATTCATTAAAGGTAAGATAATTATGCTGGAGTGTGTGAGTTTGAGCTAAGTAGGAAGTCTGCTCTGCAGAGTGACAGCAAACCACTGTTAATGAGAAAGCACAGTGGAAATGAGGTTAATGGTGGAGGGCTTTTGTATCCCCCACTCCTACGGCTGACAGGAGAGCTAGGCTGTCCTATCAAAAATTTGCTTGCTCTCATCCCAGAAGAATTGAAGATAGCATTTTCTGATTGGTGCAAGGTTTAGGGTTTGGGAACTATGTTTTCTGCACATGTGTCCTGGATCTCCACGAATGACAGGTCATACCCACTTGTCCTGCAAACTGGCCATGCCCTAACCTCCTACAGCAGCATTATAGGGTTACTGCCCTATGTCCTGCTCACTGTTCATTCAGCAGGTGGTGCCTTTGATTCTTACAGAGGCGGCTCTGGAGACTTGCTAGATCTGCATACTTCTGTGGGGGAAACCCTCTAAAGGACACCAAACTTAGTCCCCCAGCCCACAGGCCACTCCAGGCATTTGAATGTCCTCTCTGATCTTTTTTTTTTTTTTTTTTTTTTCTATTTTTAATTTTCAATGGAACTTTCCAGAGAGGGGTTACCATGGCACAGAACAACAAGCTCAGCATTCTGACAGTTGAATGATGCTGGCTGGCAATTGATAGCAACCATAACACAGATAAGAAGCAATCATCAACTAACACCAGGTGGGGAAAGGAGCTATTATTAATCAGCCACTGCTGGAATACTAAGCCCAAAACCTGCACTGTGCTGCCTGTAACGAAATACAAAAATTTGTGTTTGTTCTCAAGTTCTTTGCAATTCAGTTACAGATATGCTATTTATATAAACAAAATACCTTAAAATAATTTCTAAGCAGCAAATAGGTAAGCCTAAAGGAACTTCTACAAACCCAAAGCATTATAGACTTAATAGTGAAAATATATACTTAAATGTAATGCTTACAGAAATAACTTTAGAAGAAAATTTTCAAAGAGAAACATGAAGAAAGATGAAGTGGAACAGGCACTAAATATCGTGGAATAACTTATATAAAGGAATTCAGCAGTTCGCCTCTTATAATTTTGAGGCCCGGTGTTCATGTCGCATGCTTTCAGGTTAGATGCTTCCTTGCCTACTTGTAATTGAAGTGAGTAGACATAACTCAGCTCCCACCTCATTAAGTTGGTTGAGAGCTCAAATGTTTACTGAATTCTGTCTGACACAACCCCACCTCTGAAGTATCTTGAGGACTCAAAATGGAGGAAGCTTGTTTATTTTTTTAAGACACATGAAAAAGACTCATTTAGAAGAAATGCACATACTCAGAACAGAATAGGTCACTCAAAGGATGAGATGCATTATTTTGTGGAGCTGGGAATATTTTGGTCTGTCTTGAGGCTTTAGAATGATGGAATTAGTAAATCCTATAAGCAGTAATATCTTGGTTTATAGCAGAAAAAGATGGACCAGCCATCAAATGATTATAGCACATTTTACGGTCAAAAGGCATAAGGTCAGTCTATTTTTATGAAATTGGTGATCTAAAATGTTCTGCCTAAAAAAATGACTTGATCTTTCTCAGTTATTTCTTTCTAACCTCTTCTGTTATCTTTTCAAGTGTTCTGGCTGTGTGGCTTACACTATTTTGCTCATCAGTGCTGCCTGGACTGGCTTTAATGGAGTTGGGAGAAACAGGCCTAGCGGGTACAGATACGGGCGACCTTAAATAAACTTGTGTCCTGATGTTGATGTCCTCTTCAAAGTACCATTTTTAAATTTTGATTTTTCCCTTGTCTCCTTTCCATTTGTATTGTTTTCTATCCTGCCTTATTCTCTCCCCTAACTTTGATCTTTTACTTTTAAGGGCTATGGAAGGGCCAAAGACCCCTCTTCTATGTCTGTTTTAGGCTGGGTTGGTTGTGGCACTGACCCTTCCTAGACACCAACAACCAAAAGTTTCTCTCTCACTGATCCTAAGAAGGTGAAAGACAACCAGAACATTGGCAAGTCATTGGCTTTTAAACCATTTTATAACCACGTTAAACAACCAAGGGCCAAAAATTAAAACAATATTGCTGAGTTATGGCTCCAAAGAGTGGCATAATTTGGAAAAAATTAGGTAGCATTTGATAGAAGTCTTTTATCTTCAATACTAATTTCTACTTCTTTTTTAGGTGTTTATCCTAGTACAACAACTGGAATTTAAAAACATACAGACTTCATTTGTTGAGTAAGAAATCCAATTTCTTCATATTTTAATTATAACAATGAACAAATAATAAAGTAAATAAAGATATCTTTATGATCATCTGGCCATTAAATTAAGTGGAAGAAAAACAAGAAATGGAGAGAGGGAAGGAAGAGGATGAAGGGATGTTCTCTAAGTGTGTACTAACTCACGAGAAATGTAGTCATTATGTACTGCAAACACTCCAATTACAATAAAAATTTAAAAGAAATTGTTACTTCAGAGCTCAGAACCTAGGATCTGCTCTCTATTTTTTAGACACGGAAAACCTTTCATAATGAATGATATCAGACAAGATAAACACATAAAGCCTAGAATACATATCAGAAAGTTAATTTTTACCATAAATATAGCAAAGTTCAGTTGCTAAAATATTTATATTGGCATTTTTTATCATATAGGCAGATCTATACAAGTACCCAAATCTTTACCTGAGGGATATTTTAAAGTACATGTGAATAATATACTGGCAACACACTCAGACTATTTCAAATAAAAAGGGAAGCAGTAAGTGTTGTAGTTGTCATAGTTCAGTAAAAAGAATAGAATTTTAGCTAGACAAATTTTTCCTGCATTGAGTCCTAGTTCGATTTGTGTGTATATGTGTGTGAAGTTTCTTTTACAAGTAACAAAATAGAAATTAAGTTTGACCATTTTTTATGCAAAACATTAAGTTCAACTAGCTTCTTTTCCTCACCTTAATAATGACCCAAACACGTCTATAACAACAATAACATCATAGGAATGTTAAATAACAAATGTGAAAAATTAAAATAATCTCAAGTTTTTCAAAACAGTTAAAAGTATTTACTTAGGGGGCAGGGAGATAGCTTAGTGGCCTAAGTGCCTGCCTGACAAGTGTATGGACCTGGGTTCAATCCCCAGTACCATATGCTGTGCTGGCCCCACCCTGGGCCCACTGAACTAGCCACCACGTATGGGCACGGTGGCACATGCCTGTAATCCAGTGCTGGGGAGGCTAAAACAGAAGGATCACTACAAGTCTGAGCTGTGTAGTGAGACCCTGTACCAAATACACACATTTTTTAAAAAGTGTTTATTTAAAAGAAATTTTCACTGGGAGGTAACAAAAATGAAATAAATTTAATATTGTTTAACAACACAATGCCACAATCAGTTTAGTTCCACAATAAAAGCAACACAAATCTATATATATGGCTAGAGACAGGGATGTGGAGAAAAAATATTGAGAGGTAAATGATAACTTTTTACTTACTTCCTATAAACCTTTCTTGAGAGAACTTTCTGGAAAATTATGAGTTAAAAAAGTCTTAGACTACCGGTATACCAGTATAGTTTCCTAAAATAGAATACTAGTGCCAGTTTTCAGGGTAACTCCCTATAGGGATTTGGTTCCACCAATGAATAATGTTTCTAGCTCTATAGTAAGGTCTTCCTTCGAAACATCAATCTCATTCCCTGGTTCTTCCCCAAGCTTCTTCCACCAAGGTGCCTGTGTGTGCTTCAGGGTGATGAGATGGGCCTGTTTAGCCTTGGCAGCCACAGGCCTGGATCTGCTTAAGAAGAGCTCAGGTTCTTTGCCTTCTGCTTCCTTCAGACTTGGTGCCTCTGCAGTAAACAGATAATGAACAGGTAATTGGAAGGGTCCCGTGGCAAACGAGTAGGAACTTAGAACCTGCAGAGCTGCAGACTGCTACAGCATGGAGAGGATTCTAATTCCCGGGTAAGAACAATTACCTGGCCTTTCTATGTTTAAAAGAAATGGCTTAAAGAATTTTGTGAAATCACTGCATTAAAAATTATAAAATGCTCTACAAATGAATGGCACTGTAGCTATGGTTATCATCTACTTCTAAAATATAGCTAAATGCTTTTGGAATTGTGTAGTAGAAACTGGTTAATAGGGTTCACCATCTTTAAAATTTGTAACTGACCTAACACATGAATGATCACAAGGGTTTGGAAGCACACAAGAGGTTATGGAATCTTTATCACTGAAAACATTATGCTGTTATGATGTAGATGTAGAAAGTCCTTGAGGATAGAAATTGGGCAAGAAGATTATTAGCAGTATCTTCCTTTTGAAGATTTTTAGATGTCATATATCTTCCAAAAGTTATGCCTTTCATGAAATAAAAATAGGAGGAGTACATACTCATTAACTGTTCAATACTTGTGCTGATCTGAGCCATCAGAGCTTCTCTGTGCTGCTGGGCTCTCCCTTCTAGGGCCCTGCTCATGAAGTAGTGTTTCAGCCGTTCTTGAGCTTGGGCATGGAGCTCCCTGCTGGCCACATCTGACATCCGAGAGTCCTGGGAACACGGGACAGAACAGTTTGTCATAAGAAGGACATATATAACAAAGTATATTTTCCTCACCACTTAGCAGAAATTCTAGGGTGTATGGTGTTATTTTATCAATAGAATCTTGATATCTACTAATACTCTTGTGAATGTTTAAAAACAGCCTTAGATTAAAAACACAAAACGGAAAGTTGATTTTGGTAAGCTCCCATATACCACTTCTTTGGATCGTATGGAATTATGGAGAAGGGGTAAGACTAAAAGATTGTAGTGAAATTATTTTTTTTTTGGTGAAGATAATGCCCTGGAAGAGTAGCAATAAGGCCAACCTGTCTTTCCTGGATCTCATTTGAAAGATTGTCTTCCTCTTAAGTCACACCTACTCCTAAACTTTTTTTTTTTTTTAATTTTTTTTTTTCCACGAAACAGGAGAAAATCAGTCAAAGGGTCATATTTCACTTGGGAATAGTAGTGCATACCTGTAATCTTAGTACTGTGGAAGGATGAGGCAGGAAGATCATAAATTAAAGCTTACTTTGGGAAACAATGACTTAGCAAGACCTTGCCGCAAAATAAAAATAGTAATAATAATAATAATAATAATAATAATAAAAAGGTCTGGGGATATAGCTCAGTGGAAAGGCTCTGCATTAAGTCTCTTGCACTACAAATAATTAACTAATTAACTAAGTAAATAACCGTATTCCTTTGCTGGTCAGCTAATTTAAGGGAAAATTAACTGATTAGTTTAGATATTAAGGATTCTTAGCTTTGGACCTCACAGTTCTGACATGACAGCATTTTTAAATATTCCAGGCTCTGAATCTTTGTTCTAACTCTGTTTCTGCTAATACCTTCCTTTTCAGCCATAGGAGCTTAAGCAAGTACACTAAAGTATGCCTAAAGCAGCACCTAAAATATCAAAAACAAAAAACTAGAGTATGCATCAGAATCACAATTGTCTCTTCCTATCTGTAGGTACCCCTGCATTCAACTAATGGCAAATTCAAGGTGCATATTAGAAAAAATCAACACACAGATACGATTTTTTCTTGGCATTATTTCTTAAACAATATAGTATGACAACATTCTATGTACCATTTATGTAGTATTAGGTATTAAAAATACACTAGGGATGATTCAAAGTACACAAAAGATGTGTATAGCTTTTGGAATACTATACATTTTATATATAGGATCTAAAACTAATCTCCTGAAGACACTGAGGGATAACTGCATATATATATGCAGAGAGAGAGAGAGAGAGAGAGAGAGAGAGAGAGAGAGAGAGAGAGAGAACAAACTAAACATGAGAGCTACAATTACAAAACTCCTGGAAGACAATGTAAGAGTAGTTTCAGAACACTAGTTTTTGAACCACAGGCCTAGGCAACAAAGAAAAAACCAGACACACCAAAATAACTTTAGTGTATCAAAGGATACTATTAAGACAAAAAGGGAGATCACGGAATGAGCCAAAATATTTGCAATATATATACTATGAACTCTTAAAACTCAATGATAACAACAAAAAATAAACTAATTCAAACATGGGAAAAAGACTTAAGCAGACATTTCTGCTCAAGAAGGCATACAAATGATCAATTGACATATAAAAAGATAATCAAAATTACTAATCATTATAGAAATTCAAATCTAACCCACAATTAGATACCACTTCATACCTATTATTCATTTAAAAAAAATAGGAAGAAGTGGTGACAAGAACATAAAGAAATAGGAACCCCTGTATGATGCTGCTGAATGGATGAACAAAATGTGGTATAGACATACAGTGAAATATTCAACTTATAATAATAAGGATATCCTGACATAAGTTAATTTTAATAAATCTCACAGACATTATTCTAAGTGAAAGAAAGCACATACAAAAGAACAAACACTACATGGGGTACTTAAAGCGGTCAATTTCATAGATACAAATCTAGAACGGTGGTTTCCAGGAACTGGGCAAAGGGAGAATGGACAGTTTAATTAGTAAAAATAAAGTTTCAGTTTTCCAAGATCAAACAAGTTCTAAAGATGAATTGTGGTGAGGTTAAACATTTATATAATACTATTTATGTTTTGTATATTTTCAGTATATATAAAGATAAATTTAAAATATTGATACATGAAGCTATAGTGAATTTACTAAATCACAATTTCTTGGGGTATATGTTAACTGGTTATGTAATTTTAATAAAGGCAATTAAATATATAAATGATTACAACTTCTAAAAGCAAGATAAAGGGCCGGCCAGATAGCTCAATGGATTAAAACACCTGCTTAGGCAGATGCAGGGACAAGGGTTCGATCCCTGGTACGCTGTGGTGGCCTGGCCCTGGGGTGCAGTGAGAGGGCAATTGAGACTGGGCGTGGTGGCACAAACCTGGAACCCCAGCACTTGGGAGGCTGAAACCAGGACGATCACTATGAGTCCAAGCTGTGTAATGAGACCCTGTACTAAATACATAAAAAAAAAAAAAAAGTTTAAAAAGCAAGGTAGTCTACTCTCTACAGAGCTTAGGAACTAGTCATAGATTTGGTTTCATAGAGGAATGCTTCTTTATTCACTGGTTTTGCATAGAGAACTGTCATTTGTGCTGCTTCTACTCTTTTCAATTCATTTCTGGCTCTTGATTAAGTGAAGAGTAGTTAATATGATTGATCAGAAGCTAAAGGATTAATTAGTC